ATTTTAAAATACAAAAAAATTATTTAACTTTTAATTAGGCAGAGTGATACTGTAATATGAGTTGTAAAACATTATAGTAGTAATAATTTTATAGAAAAAAAAGTATTCATATTATTTAATAATTGTATCCTGTCCGATCATATTAGATTGATCGATCTTACAATCTATCTGTCATGCCATGAACATGACTCAGTGGCTGTGATAAGAGACCGAACTACTAATCAAAAGAAAAATTATTTCTACAGATTAGTTTAAGACGTTGGATTGTAATTAGGTCCTCGTTCATTCAAAATTCATTTTAAAATATATAAATACAAGTTGTTTAAGATAAAAACATAGCTAATACACCTGAATTATGAGATAAATTCACATTAATTGCTAAAACATCCGAAGACATTATTGTAAATAATGTTTCTTAAGTCCAAACCAATCATATTAAATGACTAAGTTTATATAAATAACATTGTTAGACTCATATCATTATTTTTGAAATATTTTTCATTTTTAAGTTTGAGTAAAACTGTTATATAATTTGTTGAGGAAAAAGGTTGAAAGGTAGAAATAGAAAAAGTTATATTATGAAAAGGGAAAAGAAAGTCTACATTCAAACAAAAGAAAAGGGTATTGGGCCAAAGCCCAAAGTCTTACAGAGTGAAAATGAGAAGATTGGTAGGAATTGAGAATCTCTAAAAACACAGTGATTTAATTTTTAAATCAAAATCATAAATGAATTTACAAAAATAAAATAATAATACAATTCATATAAAAACAGTTAAAGACCAAAATGATCACGTGATAATTTCTTTACATTTTTCTCACAGAGGTACTATCATAAAAAAAATCTAAAATAATATAAGCACTGGAGTTTCTTATGTCCAGTGCTTATTTATTTTATTATCTCAATTTAAATCATATAAGAATCTATTTTATTATTCCTATTTTTCTTATTTCTTTTTGTAGTGCTTTTACTGTAGCATCTGAAACAAAAGTTAGAGCAATTCTTGTACTAAAATAATATAATAATAAGTTGTATTTATATTTTTGACATGTTTTTTATGCTTTGATGGTTATAAGTATTATAGTATTGTATCGTATTATTTGGTGAAAAAAATATATTTAAAATATTGAAGAGAAGTATCATAAATTAACGTATAACTCAGTTGTTCTTTTATTTTTTACTTATTATTTTGGAAACTTAGAAGAATTCAATGTGAAATATTCAAATTGAGGTTTAGTAGCCCAAAACCCAAATGCTGTAACCAGCCCAGCCTGTTGCCAGTGGGTCACTTATCAATGTAATTTTCTTCAGATACATAAAATGCCAATAATCTTATAAAATAAAATACATTTAAAACTATAATAATAAAATAGAATCAAATGTTCATTTGTAGTTCAATTTACACAATGAAAACATTTACCATCGTTCCAGACATTTGAAAGTTGAAGTTTGTAGTTCAATTTACACACAATAATCCCCAATATATTTTAAATTATTAATAAAGCTTTATAAATTCAATAAAAAATATATATTTTTTCTCTTCATTTTGTTCATTACTTTATATTATATTGAATATATATATATATATATATATATATCTATATATATATATATATATATAACAAGAGTTGGATGATATATATTTTCATAAAAGTTATCTCAACAGAAGTAGTATAATAACTGTCCTGACAATTAATATTTATTATAGATTTAAAATATAATTTATATTCAAAGATGTGTATTTTTTTATTTTCAGCTATAAAATATATTTTTTCATTAATTTATTTAAAAATAAATCCAGTTGAAATATACTAAAAAAATATTATTGTGATAGTATAATACTAATTCTACTCATAACAATATATAAACGATACTCAGCTTGGAGATATGAAAGAAGGCGACCAATAATTAGTTAATGATAAAATTATATAAAATTAAATTAGATTTTTTATTGTAATGAAAAATTAAAAAACATTGTTAAAGTAATAAGTTGACAATTTTATAAATTAAAAATTATATTCATAATTGTTTATATTTATTATGGAATATGTGTATGCGTCAAGTTTTTTACTTCATTCAATGTTCTTCACTTTCAATGTTTAGTTTCTTACTCTGTGTTTTTTAACCAATAGGTATGTACTATTAAAGTTAATTCAGTTACTTAAATGTGTTATAAAATTCTCAAGAATTATATTTGGATCTGTATTTATAAATTTTTCATTGGATTTTCATTAAGTCAATCTAATTATGATTTAATTCTATTAAAATACTTACTAACTTATTTAATTAGTTAAATCTAATGAACACTTCCAAGTCTCCTCCAATTTAAACAATCAATTTAGAAAGTTTAATGAGCATACATACAGATTAGTATATATCATACAACAATGAATGTAAAAGCATTTTAGAACAAAGTTAAAAACTATTGAAACTTCGTTCTCTTAACATATTTTACTATTCCTTAAAAACCATGTTTTATTTTAAAATTTGTTTTTGAAAATCAAATATCAAGAGACAGATAACCATCCTGAACATGTCATAAAATAATCAAATATTCACATTCATTAAATACTCCACAAAAAAGTCATTAAATTTTTAATCCCATTAGTTTACTTCTTTTTACACTTCCAATTTTGTCAAATTGATATAAAATTAAACATTTGTTGCAAGAATATGCTATATATGTTCCTGTTGCCTTAGAATTACAACTCAATATTAACAGGTAACTAAAGTTAATAATTTTCATTAATTAGTAACAAATGTACAACTTGCAGATTACAATTATATTTTTCAGTAATTTTCATAGTACTAAAATAAAATGGAAAATTGAGTTATCATGATCATGTCTACAATGTCTGGTATACTAAAATGGAAAAAGAAATAAAAAACACATTTAAAATGGGGCAATTGGCAGAGGAAGAGGAAAGAGGAACTAAGTGAATAATTATTTATGCTGCGCTGACTAAGTATTGGTCTAAGCAATTTGCACATTTTGCATTTGAATACAATATTTTAAATATTACTTTAATATTAGAATCTCATAAATGTTTTTTTTAATGTTAAGATTAGATTTTAAGATGGCGTGCAGACATTTTTGTTCCTTTGCTCTCTTCATTTTCCATTCGTAGAGGCCAAGAACCCTAACAGGTGCTGCTCCCTTCTCCCTGCTCATACATTCTCTTGCCCTCTTATTTTTTCTTTAAATCATTGCATGGGTTCACATCAAAATCTCTTTTTTCACCCATTTTTCCACTTCCATTTTAAACTTAGATTTTGTTGATCTGCTTGGTTTTTACTTCAAAGATCTGATTTTTCTTTTACCATGTTTTCATGTTAAAATGGATCTTGATCAAAACCCAGAAGCTGAAATATTTGGGGAAGGTGGTTTTGCATGTGTGCATTTATGGGATTTGTATGATTTGTCCCCTTTTATGGTTTGACTTTATTTGAGCTCAAACAAAGGTGAGTTTTTAGGTCAGACAATTGCATTCTGCTGTTTTTGTAGTTGTAGTTGTTTCACTCTGTGTTTCCCATCTTAAATGTGTTCTGTTTTGAATTGTGTTGATTTGTTAGGAGAATGCAATGGACTTGAACAATCTGAGGTTATTTAAATAGTGTACACTCACTGCATTGTATACCTGCAAATAATTTCATCATTTGGTGTTGTGATGGATGGTGATAATGGTCTCAACATCCGTAACTGGGGTTACTATGAACCGGCCACATCGTTTAAGAGCCATCTGGGGCTGCAGCTGATGTCATCCATGCCGGAAAAGCCTTTAATCGGAGGGCGCAATGCTGCGGTTTTATCTGCTACAAATGGGGCATTTCACCACAGAGACATTGGTATGTCCCACGCTACATACCCTATGGAATACGTGAGAGATGCTTGGATTAGTAGTCAGAGAGACAAGTATATGAATATGATACCTACAAATCATAACTATGGTAGTATTCCAGAGACATCTTCGGCACATCAAATTCAAATGATTCCACCGCCGGAATTGCCGAAGGAAGAAAGGGAAGTGGAAGAGGAAGCTGTTGTTGAGAAGGCAACTGGGGGCAGTCGTAAGAAAAGACAGAGTCCTAAGGTGCCGAAATCTCCCAAGGCAAAGAAGTCCAAGAGGGGCCCTCGTGTGCCAAAGAATGAGAATGCTCCCACAGTTCATCGTGCAAG